CCTCAGGCTACTTTAATGTTAAATAATTGCCACTAATCACTTTTAAAAATTGCTCTAGGAATATGGCTGTTCACACAGAGCAAGTTCTGATTCAGATCACATAAACGTAAAGAACTCTTTCAGGGACTCTACAAATTGTGATATTTTTCTGGGAATGGGACTTTTGAGGATCTCCAAACCCATCTGTTTCTTCCAGTGGCTACTAGGTTGCTAATTTTTATAGCCACCATAGTTGTGAGGCTGCTGGTTTTAAAGAGTGCTGTGGACCTGGGGAGAGGAGGATGGAAGTAGGGAAAACTAAAATGACACAAAGCTTACTCTTCTGAGATTCAGCAGTTTGTCTTAATAAATGCTCCTTGGGTTATTAAATTTCTAAGGTTCTGGAAAAGTTGACTTTGGTTGTTTTTGCCAGTGTTCTCATTGCTTCTTTGGAGGAGTAGATTTTTCAGAAGTCCTTTTCCCACCATTCCTGATGTGCTTCTCTTAATGTGCTGTTAACATCATTTATTTAAATGTAAATTGATTTAAACTCAAACTGTGATATTTAAAATATGCTAGAAATTATATAATTTACAGCTTCTTAAGCTTATGAAAATAATGAAAAGTTTCAGATGAAAACTTTTCCAAGGTGGTACATGAAGTTTTACAATTCATGTCCAGGTAAATTCCCAAAAGAATATCTTGGTAGGAAAGGAGTTAAAAGGACCCATTTGAAAAGGTATTAAAGGACCTTAGGCAGCCATTGTCTGCACTGGGACAGCAAAACACAGTTGTTGCAACTTCTATGTTTATGAGTATGACAATGTTGATACGAGAAAGGATTGAAAAAAATGTGAATTAAGCAAAGAATAGGGGGGCAAGTACCATATTTAGAGATGGGAGCATGTGGAAAGGAGCTAGTAGGAAGCACTTTATGGCATATGGTCAAATATTTTTTAAGAAAAGGAATTTCAAAAAGTCAAATTTGAATTTGTTATATATGAATATAACTTTCCATTAAGCTTTCCATTAAGTTCTTACCAAAAATTACATTTGCAAAATAAACAAAAATAAAAATGGAAAAGTGATAGCTCATACAAACTTCTAGTATTTTCCAGAGGGTATTTTCAACCTCGAATCCCTGGTATAGCAGTATCTTCCAGTCTTACCGTATAACTGGATCACCAGAGCAGATTGAAGGCTTGCACTGTCTCTCTTGGGAGAAAGTGATATTTCTACAGTGTATTTTGGAACCCCGTCACTAAAGACCTCTGATTCATTGAAGATTCCAAAGAATGCCGACTTGAAACAATTATGATGAATTTGAGAAACTTCAGTATTAATTTAGCATTGAGTCCCATGAGCTGGATGCTACTTAGTCAAAATAGTTTGGCAGAGAGAATATGTAGTATGATCCTTGTGGTTGGAAACTTCTCCTCAACAAGCAACACACACAGATGAAAGAAATGCTTTGGTGGATTTTTTGAGAGGGATTCTGTTTCATTTCCATCTATGACTGTGTGCCCAGAATCATATCAACAAAGACTTCACAACTAGCTAATGTTCCAAGATTTAAATCAGTTGCCTTCATTCTTTCCTGCATCCCAGAAGGTAGACTGAATCCAGGAAGCACTGTGCCTTTGTTTGCTGAAGCATGGTTTCAGTGTGTCCAGCAGAATGGTCCCAGAACACCAACAGAGCCACAGAATTGGAAAACACTTTGGTAATAGTAGCTGAGAACCCTTAATGATGTCTATCTAAAATCTTAGTCATGGGAAATCCATTTTCTGATCCTTATTATCAAAAAAAAATAATAATGGGTAATCTGTCTATACCTATATTTGGTGGGATATTAAAAACCCCTTAGTTTTTTAGCACATATATCTTTATGTAGCTGGGAATTTCTTATTTTGGGGGTGCATGGGTGGCTCTGTTGATTAAACATCCAACTCTTGATTTTGGCTCAGCTCATGATCTCACAGTTTGTGAGTTTGAGTCCTGCACTGGGCTCTGTGCTGACAGCATGGAGCCGGCTTGGGATTCTCTCTCTCTCTCTCTCTCTCTCTCTCTCTCTCTCTGTCTCTCTGTCTCTCTCTGTCTCTCTCTCTGTCTCTCTCTGTCTCTCTCTGCCTTCCCCCACTTGCATGCTCTATCTCTCAAAATACATAAATAAACTTTAAAAAATAAATATAAGAATTTCTTAATTAAAAAAATTCTTAAATTAAAAATTGTTCTTGAAAATTTTAAGAAATTTCTTAAATTTGTTTTCATTATAATGTAAGTCAGGTTAAGTTTGACTTGCCAGCAAGTGATTTACAGCATGCAAATACTTTGTTATTCCTAAGAGTGAAATAAAATTAGCTAGTCACACATTAATAGCTTTAAACTCTTGTTGTAGAGCCTATGGTAAATAACTTCAGATATAATCATTTTATGCATTGTCCCCTTGAAGGCTCTGAAATACTACTGTGTCCCTCCACACAGTCTACACTAGGACAGAAATTCACTTGCTCATGTAAGTTAATATTTTACTTATCTTGCTCCTATTCTAAATGCCCTTCCCCTAAATTTTAAATCTCATCCCTTAAAGCTGGGCACTGGTGCTTAGTCTTCCATAAACTCTTTCCTCATTGTCCTTGTACATTTCTCAAAATGTTGCTTATGCCTCTTTTTGAATTAATTTTCTTTAACATGGTATTTGTTCTTAAGTCCGTTGGAGGCAATCTCCCCCCACTAATGCAAAGCTCCTTGAAAGCAGAGATTGTCCCTCATTGATCTACATTTCTTAGCACGTAACTCCTAGATATTGGTGATTTGCATAGAGAAAAGAGTCCCAAATCTAGACATCCGTGGAAAACTAGTAGAGAAAAAATTCCAGTTACTTTGCATTTTTATATTTTATATCTGGATTTTATGGAGAAAATGCCTAAGAAAATCAAAGAGAGAGAAAACTAGACCGAGACCTATGTAGTACTGAACTTATATTTAACTTCAGAGGCTCTACCAATGTGTAAATTTTCTACCGTCTTTGAGTAGCAAAGACTTTAATAATGTACACATAGGTTTTGACTGATTGGACTAAACTGACAGGTCACTTTAATTGAAAACATTAGTATATTGTTTTGAGTTTAACTCTTATTTGGTGTCTAAAAAGCCAATAACACAGAGAATTGACTGAACTTTTCAACTTTTCACTGTTTATTTGGACACTCTATAGACATAGCCAAAAAGAAATCTCTCCAAAAACACCTCAAAGAATTTTTTTCTTCAACTGCATAAGATCATGAGAAAATAAAATCCCTCTGTTCTCAAATGACACTTTAAAGTTATAGGAGTATAGTGTGGGGAAATCAGTTCAGCCATGGATTATCAAAACAACAGAAATATAAACCAGGTATCAATCTATAATATTTGCTGAAATAAATTGACTCTGATTCAAACTGTCAGCTCAGTTCTTTGACACTGAAAATAAAATACCAAATGTACTAATGTAGAAAACTTGAGCAATGAAAAACATGACCCTCTATTTTATAATGTTATTTTAACTATGAATCAAACTGATTGATAAATGAAGTTCAAATTGGCTCTTTTTGCATGAATTCAATCACGAGTCAAAAATAGTTTCAGAGTTTTCACACACCTTTTCTACTGGCACATACATTTTATCCTTTGAAGAAACCGTTTCACAGTCATTCCTAATTTCACTAGCAAGTGCCGTAGCTCTGGATTTCCCTTACTCTCTGGTCCTTTTTAAGAGAGTGATTCCTCTGACATGATCTGGATCTTGAGTCAGATAAGTACGTCTCTATTTGTTGTTTTGTTTTCCCAAAAAAAGGTCTCATTTGCAAATTAAAAACGTATATAGCAAATGGACTGGAGGTGGTTCAGGTGCAATAAGTTAAAAAGAAAAAAAAAAAGTAGGTTTTAAGAGTGTATGCAAGGTACAGCGGTGTGCCAGGATAGGGCTGTGCACTTCAGTGACTGGCATCCAAAAGGACTCGTTCTCTGGAATGCTTCTGTTCTGTTGGCCTAAGCTGTGTTGAGACACTTTCAGCTGAAGTGTTCTGTGTGGGGTAGTGACCTGCAATCCCCAAGGTTCTAAGTTGTCCTGTGAATAGGAATACATTTCCTATTTCTTGTATCCCCCATTTCCCCACCCATATATCAGGGATTGGTTTGAAAGAATGAAGCAGAGACCTTACAAATGCCTGAAGACCAAAAATTCTGTCAAGGGGAAGAAGAAATGGAAAAGAGAAGAAAGAGACTAAATCCCCAAATCCCTGCACATGTAAAAGCTTTCTTACTTTTTTTTCCCCCCACTTCTAAAGAAGATGAGTCAAATAAGAGCCCATTCAAAACCACATGAGTAAAAATGAAGTTGTGTGTTTTTCACATACTTCAGAACAGGCTAAGGGATGAAAATGAGGGCGAGTTCCCTATAGTCAAACATGCCCAGAAGTAGCAAACTTTGACTTAGCCATGAGCCAAATAAGCTGCTCCTGAATAATCGGGTCTTGGTTTAAATCTGTAGAGATGTCTTTTTCATGTATGTGAGGTGGACTTTTGATTTCATCTCTGGGACAAAGTTTGAAGTTAGTTTGTGACTCTGGCATAGAAAATGAAGGAAACCTTTGTAATGGACTGCTCATGTAGGCTTATTCTAAGTGTGTGTTTAATTCCCTCATGTGAATTATATTTTGAATCATTACCACTCAAGAGTCACCAGGTTTCATCTACTTAAGCTCAAGATACTATGTGGAAAAGCATTCTAAAGTCAACTTGCCAAATATCACTTTAATCCTTGAGTACTTAAATACAAATATTAAGCCAGAAATTAGAGCTTTCTGGTCCTTTTCTTTTGCTTCTATCACATTAAATCAATAGACATGGTAACAGACCTACATTATATATCAAAAGAACAATGTTTTTAGATCCATAGCAGAGGAAAAGAGCCCAAATTTAGCTCTTGTATGCTTTTTTTTTTTTTTTTTTTGCAATGGAAAAAAAAAATCCATGAGACAAAGGGGTAAGTTCACCTCTTATGATGTAGAGTGGATCAGAGGTAGCAAAATGATGCTCAGTGAACACTGGAAACAAATGACACCAGGATGCTGAGTCCAATTCATTCCTTTCTTTTTCCCTGGACTTACCATATTGAACTGATAATTTTTCCGTAAGTCTTCCCTCAAAATGGATAGTTCTCCATATATAATTCCATCCCAAATGCTCCATTACAAATGGATTATAAGCATTTAAACTTTTGTCAGAGTGATGAATCTTTCTGGGTGTGTCCTGGAGAAAACCAGGCAACTTCAGAATTTACATTTATCCACTTGGTGTTTTGCAATAAGGTTCTGAAACGGAAATAACAATATATCAGGCCAATTCAGGAATGAAAATTTTAAAAATGCCAAATTCTAGCATGCACATTCATAGTGTAAACCTGAGTGACCAGACCAGGACTACATTCTTTTCTAGCCCAATTGAGTTCCAATAATGAAATAAGATTAAGCTATAGAAAAAAGAGGCTTTGTTATGGAAGGAGAATGGAAGGAAGTTTATCATTCTTTAGAATCTTGTCTCTAATATTTTTCTATATTTGACCATGTTGTAGACATATGAATTTGACCACTTGTTAAAAAGAGTACAAATTGGCTAATTGGCAAATGTAGCAGTAATGTTGATAAGAGGATTTTATTGGGGTACCTGCATGGCTCAGTTGGTTAAGTGTCTGACTCTTGATTTTGGCTCAGGTCATGATCTCACAGTTTATGAGATCAAACCCCACTTCAGGCTCTGAGCTGACAGTGAGGAGCCTCTTTGGGATTCTCTCTCTCCGTGTCTCTCTGCCCCTCCCCTGCCCACCTGCATGGGCACACACACTCTCTGTCTTTCCCTCTCTCTCTCAAAACAAATAAACATGAAAAAAAATTTAAATAAGAGAATATTATTTATTATGCAAATTATATTTTGCAAAATACACAGATAACTGCTAAGGTCATTGGCAGAACTCAGAAATTCCAACCCAAAGTATACATGGGAGGGTCTTTTGTGTGATTGTGCAGTGCTCTTAATTTAGTAGCCAGACCTCAGCAATAGAAATCAAATGCTTACTCTGCTACAGGAATATAGTAAAGCCAGCCACAGAGGCAGTCCTCATGTTTTTTGAAAGGCAAAAATAACATATCAGCACTATTTTTATCTTTTTGGTGGAAGGGATTTTGCTTCTGATTAAAAAAAAAAATAGCTCTTATCTTTCAGAAGAGAATTCCCTAAATAATAATTTGTTACAAAAACAAATATAAATATATAGCATTGTAATAGTGGAATACAGTCTTATTTTATTTTATTAAAAAAATTTCTTTATGTTTATTTTTAATAATGAGAGACAGAACGTGAGCAGGGGAAGGGCAGAGAGAGAGAGAGGGAGACACAGAATCTGAAGCAGGCTCCAAGCTCCAAGCTATCAGCACAGAACCCAATGTAGGGCTCAAACTCACAGAACATGAGATCATGACTTGAGCTGAAGTCAGATGCCTAACCGACTGAGCCACCCAGGCGCCCCAGGGGAAGAGATTCTTAAATGGTCTTATCTTTCCCCCTTCTTTGTTCCTTTGTGTCAGAAAGTAGGAGTGTCCCATTAAGTATATCACTCTTAGTTCTAGAAGTAATAACACTGTCTTTGTTCACTACTACTTGTTTACTACAGTAAGAGGTCTGTGGGTAACAGTGCTAATCTTAACCACTGCCCAATACAAGAATGCCACCCTTTGTCTAGGCACATACCTTCTATCCAAGTATACATAAGGTCAAATGAAACAATAACCAACAAAAGATCAATAGAATAATGGTCCAAGCTAAATTCTATGGCAGAATCATTTTTTGTAACTGTAAAAGTACAATTATTCTTTGTGGTTAAAATTATGCAGCCCTTAAATAACTCTGAGTAAATGAATTATGTGCCATTAAGAGATTTCTTGAAAAGTTTTCATTAGCTGTAAAATAAAATAGCTTTAAGCTTTAGAATGTTCTACTCAGTTGGAGACTCTCATGTCTTTGTGATATTCTGGTGACAATTTCTATTCTAAGTGTCAAAAACAACTCTGCTATCTGGAACAAGTCGTATAGTATTCTCTCCTTTTAATATTCTAATCGTGAGGTGTGAAGTGAAATGGTTGCACAGTGTAATGGTGGTAAAGAAGTGGAGTGTCAATGAGACGGGGAAGGTGACAGACTCAGAATAGGTCCCTGAGGTGCTCTCCAAGTGCACTGGATAAAGATTCCCCTGGGAAAATTTTCTCATTAGTTCTCAGACACAGTTCAGTAATTCAATAGCACCAGGTTACCATTAGTCATAAGACCAAAATATGTTACTTTCCATGCTTTAGTTCCTTTATTTGTGTATGTCATTTTCAGACCGAAAATTATTGAGCCCTACTCTCATGCAAAGCTACTCAGTAAATTGTTTACACACTGAAGTATGATACATGACAAGCAAATTCTGCATTTTTTTGTTATTGTTGTATGCTACAAGTTCACAGGGAAATTGATGTTTCAACTAATTCTAACGCTACTTCCCCAAGTAACTCAATTTCTTTATGCCAGAATTACTAAACACGCACACGTGTGCACTACTCGCGTGCATATTCATTTTCATAAAAAAAGCAGGAAGGATTCAGAAATAATTGTTAAGGAAATTATCACATTTTTAAAAAGCTTTCTCACCCGTATTTATCTGACTTGTAAAGTAAACTTTTCTCACTACTTTAAGGAAGTCTATTTTCAAAACCAATGTACCTTCTGGTGATGTGTTCTGTTTCAGAAATTACAGTGTTCTTTCTAAAATCAAGAAGTATTGAATGATGTACTACACATGTGAATATAAAATATTCATATTTTGTGCTATAATAGAGAGGAAACTCTTAAAGATCCTGGTTGTTAGTTAATTTGCTATGTAATTGCTGAGTAAAGATGTTAAAATGCATACATTATAATTCTACATGCTTTATATTTCCTTGTCATAAATGATATGTACTTTTTTCTATGCTATGAAAGTTAACTGCACTCCCACTCCACAACTGAAAGCATAATGGGTTAGGGGGTTGTCTACCTCATTACTCACCAGGTCAGAAAGAAAGGAGTATCCACCCCCATTGGTTATTTAAATCCTCCTGGTTACATCAGGGAAGCAATAATGAAATCTGTGAAAATGAAAATTAGATACAACACCAACAGATTATTGTAGATTTTTGTATTTCAGAAGACAGTTCACAGAATTTTACTTTGCATATTTTGCAGTGATCATTCTTATCTTTATTATTTATTATTATTTTTTTATTATTATTTTTTGATCATTCTTATCTTTAAAAGATAGCTAGGGTATGGTATTGCCAAAAAATTACTTAATTTGTAATATATTCTAGTGGAAGTATAATTTAAGTGCATCCACCTAAACATCATGACAGATTGGAGAGGAAGGTAATCTTTGGTAATGCAAACTATGTTTCTTACAAAGATAAAATATGATAGGTAAGCTGCAAGAGGAAGTTATCTATTAGAAATAGTGAAAGAATAGACTTTTCCAAATGAATTGGTTAAAAACTATTCCTAATAGAAACATGCTCCTTTCAAAACAGTAATGATAAGGATTCCAAACAAACCATCACATACTTCTGTTTATGTGCTACCCATAGAGTTATTGTTGAATTATGAATTGTAAATATTTATAAGTGATTCATATTAAAGAAGTTGTCAGCTGCAGCTACAGTTCTTCACCTTCTGTCATCCCAACTATCAAGGGGGCTGACTCAATCGCTTTCTTGTCAGGCTACCTTTCTTCCCCAGAATACTCAATTCCCAAAACACAACAAAATATAAATGAATGGAAAGTGCTAATGACCCATGATTGCCAAGAGGTATTAAGTTTGTAAAGGTCCTTTGCTGACTAAATTTTAAATGAGCAAGATCGTTTCCCAAGGCAAATCTTTATATTTTTAGTAGATGTCCATTGAAAAGAAATACATATTATTGTCTTCTCTCTGCTTTCCTATGATAGGAGTCATAATCAGCTTTTAACGACTCAAGTATATGTAGCTTATTCCCTGTTTATTTACAAGATCTATGCTCATAAAAGCTAGACTAATAAAAATTATATTTTAGTTGAGGGGAAAATGGCTTGAAATTATAAGATTTGGAAACATGTATTTTTTGGAAGTTAAAGGCATATTTTAAATCTTTAGGGTCAGGAGGGTACCATTTTCAACAATTAAAAGTTTTATGTTTAGCAAATAATGTGGATCAGTTCCCAAATCTTGTAATTTCATGCTATTTCTCCTTTATACTGTCTTAAAAATGCTACTGATGACAAAACTGTTGTTTCTAATGACTTTGAAGTCTAAACTTTGATTTCTTTATCAATTTTGTCTTGGGTTGATGCTGTTGTGTTTCTCCTCACCTAGTGTTTTGTGATACATTTTCATGCCTGATTAGAATCTTTTCTAGGGAAGAGAGATGGATGGTCACTGAAATCATAGCCTCAGAGGTTCAAATGTTTGGATACAAGTGAAAAAAAGTTTCCATTGTGTTTGTTAATTCAATCACTAATTTAGGAAAATAAAGCTTTAGCTTAAATTTTATGTTGTGAAGAATTGCTTACATCTGTATATAATTTAGTATACACAAAAATTAAAATCAATAGTGGAAACTTAGCAGAACAGTTAAGGAGTATTCTTTGTTGTTGTTGTTGTTGTTGTTGTTTGTTTACTTATTTTGAGAGAGAGCTAGAGCTCTCAGGTATGCTAGTGCTGGGTTGGGGGATAGGTGGTAGGGAGGGGCAGAGAGAGAGAGAGAGAGAGAGAGAGAGAGAGAGAGAGAAAGAGAGGGAGAGAGAGAGGGAGAGAGGATCTTAAGCCCTACAGGGGGAGCTAGATCTCAGGAACCCAGAGATCATAACCTGATCCAAAATCAAGAGTCAGATGCTTAATTGACTGAGCCACCAGCCGCCCCAGTTAATGAATACTTTTTGATCAAATCATTAGATCTTCCTGAAAGGAGGCTCTGTAAGTAGGAAATCATTGGTTTTCCCATATTTTCGGTGTAAGCTAATGGCAATGTGTTAATCTTTAAGTTTCTGTCTCATCTTTTAATTTCTATATGAAATAGCTCTTAAGAATCTTTCAGCAATTTCCTTTATTATTACACAGCACTGTGACTTACAAGCACTCACAGATACTCACATGTAAGCAGACTCTATACATGTACACACATAAAGTCAGGGCCAGCTCAACAGATGTGCTCCCGTGTGGGAATCATATCACTTTTTCTGAAACACTGAAGGCATGACTTTCAAGTAGTTTTAAATTTCAAATCAGCTTAGTCCATATTTAATCTAGACATGTTGGTTTAACACCAAGCCACACCAGACCTTTTAAAGTTCAGTGGCTGTGATATAAAATTCTTCACTGTGTTGCACCAATAAATTGAGAAGTGCAGTATAATTCTCCACTATCACTGGAACCATTGTGAAATGAAATAAAGACTTTGATATTGGCCCTCACTCAGGTGCTCACTCTTTCACAGTTGTATTCAAAGTGTGTGTTCACAAAAGTTAATAAAAACTCACGTAGATGATGCATAGTTGATGGAAGTAAGTGGTAAAAAAAAAAAAAGTTAACTCCACCATTTTCTTCCTATTGGTCACTTTACATGCCAGTGGGTTAAAAGATGCTGAATTCCTTTTCTCTGAGGACCACCTTTATAACTGAGTTATTTAGTTTTTTATTTTTTTAAACTAAGCAGCCAAAAGAAAGAGCCTCTTGACACTTCCAGCAAGTATCTCAGTTCTTTTCATATTGTCAATAGCTCCACTGATAGCACTGTTCTTTTGACAGCTAAAAGCAGATGTGGGGGTTAAGTATGGGAGCAATTCAAATGTCCATAGTAAACTGCAGGGGGGCAGAGAGAGCTCAGAGAGCAGCAGCTTTAAAGTAATTGACTAATACAGTAAGGATATTAAAGTCATTTAGTGCCAAAAGGGAACACACTGATCCCTGACCCTCAGCCACTTTGGAGTAATCTAGTATTCAATCCAGCGTGTAATGACTGCCAGGCCTGTCAATCCTCCAGGCTCTCCAGTCAAATGCCTGTGGCTACTATTGGCTTATGGTAAAAGGACAGAAATGCAAGGAAATGCCTCTCAATCAGCCTATGATGTGATAATGTTATTGCTCCAATGTATTCTATATTGTCCCTGCATAGTTTAATCTGTTGAGACCCATGTCAAAAATTGCCCTTGTTCCCCAGAGGTCTTTACTCAACCTTTTAGTAATACAAGTGGATTTGAAAGGAAAGGGGGTAACTAACTTGATGAATTGTTTCCAGCTAATACATACATACATATATATGTGTGTGTGTGTGTGTGTGTGTGTATACATACACACACACACACACACACACACACACACACACACAGTCAACTGTGGCTTAAAGACTATCCATGCAGGGTATAAATTAGAAATTTGCTACTAATTTGACTTGTAAACCTTTCTTTTTCTTTTACTCCAGCAGGCAAACTATTTTACAATAAAAAGTGTTGGAAAAAAAGAAGTATTGACACAGAAATTTATTTACACGATGGCTGATTCACATTCAGTGCGTGTGCCAAAAGGAGTTTTAACAGGGTAAGATGTCAGAAAAAAAGGTTTACTTGTTTCTGCTACTTCAAGACATAAGAGTTGGCAAACTTCTGGGAAGCTTCCATTTTAAATGAGGTGTTTTGCATTTGGAAAATATAATTATTGCTACAGGCTGCAAATGAAAAAAAAACACCTAAGAGAGTACAGGAAATTGCCTTTTTTTGTTATTTTGATTTTGCTAATTAAAGCACTAGAAATTGACCCAAAGTTGAAGAATCAAATTAGAATAATAATTATTCAAATCTTATTTTATTATCTTACAAAGATTCTTTGTATTTCTTAGTCATTCCCCCCATTTACTTTTTAAAAACCTACTATATAGAGTCTTTGGAAAGAGGCAGCTCCAGTGATGATAATGCACTATTATTTTTAGAGGACATTAAGGTTACATAGGGAGGCATTTTGCCTATTTCTGTTATGTAGGACTTTGCCCAGCTCCCACAGGGAAGGTGCTACACAAAACGAGAAACAAAGAGGAACATCTGTTTGTTCATAAGTTTGAAATAACTTTGGTGTCGAAAACAAATGGCTGTCCCCCTCTACCAACCTGTCCTCTGGCCATTCAGCACTCTAAAATGATTAATCAATGTATGATTGTATTCTAAAAACCATTCTGCACATGTTACTTTTCCCACTGGAAGTATTTGGAATTTGTATACAATCTTGCCAAAATATAAGAGACAGGAAAATCTTACTTTTGTGTTCACTGAATTCCCAGACCTTAAGGGCAGAATGAATGCAGGAGGAATCCCATCAGGATGTCTCGGGCAATTTTTCATTAGTATCCATGACAAGCTGTTTCACCACAGGCTATTGTTTTCATGGAAAGTTCAAATACAGTAGGATGGGATATGGTGTGCTATTAACACATAATGGTATGATTATTACCTATCTTATATATATATGACCTTTGTCACCTAGAACATTGATACTCTTCATTATGATGTACCATTGTAGAATAAGAGGAATGGTTGGGTAGCTTTAGAGTTCTTTCTGTAGTTGTCTAATTATCTGTTTAAAGTTTTCAAAGCTTTCCTAAGAGGTGAACTAGAAGGCAAAACCAAATAGGTCAGAGAATCATAGGGCTTTAAAGGGCCTTGGCATTAATTTGTCTATTCCTTTTACATCCTGGCATCAAATAGCTAAGCTATTTCTGGTGAGGGTATATTTTATACAAAATTCCAAAATTTAGCATCATGTCTATCTGCAAAAAGCATTATGACTATAAAGGAATAACTTGATTCTACAAGCAGAACAAAAAATCAGTCATATAGCTACATGTTGTATTAAAAGCTTCTTCAATGAGTTGAAACTTATTTTTTCCTACAGTCTCCTTATGAAATTCAATGAGTCACTTTTCACTTTTTGTATAATAACTTTATGTTCCTAACGACAATTGTTAAGTATATATTTAGTTTTCTCTAGAATGAATGTGAGTAAAGCGTCATTCAGTTTGGGTTAATTGAGTAAGTTCTCCTTTAGCTTCAGCAGAATTAAGGGCATATATCTT